TTTGAATTTGCAAAACGTAGCAAAATATGTATTTTGTTTACCTGAACATACTGGAAAAAAAGAAAAAAGAATCACAAAATACAAAAATAATTAGAGAAAAATAATAGAGTTAAAAAAAAGTGAAAATAAAAGCAAAATGTAAAAAATAAAAAACGTTGATATTTGTTATCCACTGCAGCGAACACTAACATCATGTAACAATGTATTTTACAGATAGCCACACTTCATTTATCACATATTTGTGAAGCTATTTAAGAATTTCATAATTAATTTTGACAAAAACGTAATAACATTTAATGATAACGGTGTAACGATTCTCCTAACACGTGAAAACATTATTATTACATTACGTGACATTAAACTGTGTTTTTATTCTTAACAACTAAAGACTGTTTTGGTCAATAATATCCAGGAAGCTAACTTTGTACTCTATGAACTGCAGAGTAAGAATTAGTAGCATAAAGTAAATAAAAACTGCTTATTTACAAAAAATCTGAGCATTTTTATTTTAAAGATTTGTTCAAATTATCAACAAACCTCAACTAATTTAGGCCTTTTTTTACATTTCAACACAACATCATATCAGCATCGTCTCTGTGATGATAGTGATTTGAACATAATAATAATTTGTGCGTATTTTGAGATGCGTTTGTGTTCCAGTGCAGATCAGGCAGCGATGATGCTTTAACCCAGAGTTCCCCAAACTTTTATGCACCACGGACCGGTTTATGTCCGACAATATTTTCACAGACCGGCCTTTAACCTCCTAAGACCCGAACTCTTCCACAGCAGCATTTTTAATTTCTCTTTGCTATTTGGGCTGATTGGGGTAAAAACAAAGAACTACCAGATTTTTTTTTACCTTATTTTTGTTTTTATGAAAAATAAGAGCCACATATGAGGATGTTTGTTTAAAATTTTGATAACAGTAGCAGTATAATGTCCTCGTCAGTGGATATCAGGCCCTTGTAGAGCAAAATTGAGTATTTCAGTCTAAATAACCCAAAATGGGATGTCCACATATGTGGACGCCAGGTCCTAGGAGGTTAAGGTGTCAGGGACAAATACAACAAAATAAAACCAGTACCGGTACCAAAAAAAGGAAAATTTATTCATAGCACACGGGAAAAGACCCGTGTGCTATGAATAAACTCACTTCACCGTGTGAACTCACTTCATTATAATTTAAAGAATTGTATAAATTTACATTGTTTTAAAAAGTGT